GCTCTTATCTCGTGGGGTGATTTTCACTCGTGGTCGCGTTTCGCTCGCTCTACTATCCCTGATGAAAAATGAGGATTACTCGTAGTCTAGAAACTTTTAGCTGTCCTAAAGAAATAAAAAAATTCGAGGCAATGTTTGCTTCTCCGAACAAATATTCAGGAAACAGCGGTTGGGTGCCCCTGATAGTTTAATCCTCGTGCTTTTATCCTGGGGCAGATGCTCAATATTTCGAGCCCGCGATGGTTAAGGGCCTAATCACTGTAATTGTAATCACTGTTGCCTGCATTTAACCCTTTCAATGTTGTCAGTGCTAATTACAATTTTTAGTGTTTTAATCACCACTGATTTTCAGTGATTAACCCTGACCTGACTTAACTTGTCTAAGTAACTTATATTTCTGTTACTCTTATCACCTAGTATTTGCATAAGTATGGCGACAGGTACTGCAGAAGAAGCGTTACATCCAACAAACGAAAATGCAAATTTCCTGCGCTTGACACGGCTTCTAATGCGTGGAGGACTCCAACTTTTAAGAGACACTTTTAATGCTATCCATTCACCACCCAATCTTTCAACCGTGCTTGATGACCATACCACAAAGACGGCGCTTAAAACTTTGAAAAGGAAGAGAGTCCTTACCCAAACCCAGTGGAAATACCTTTACGACCCACATGGACCAGGAACCTATGGAGAGTCGGCCAATTTTGATATCAGCTTACTTTGTTTATTGCTACAAGAAATATGCGAACTCCCTGAACCTTCTAAAGGATGGTTCACCTTTCCTGAAGGGACCGATAACAGTTGTGGAGCAGACGTGGTCAGAATTAGGCATTATCGTAACACACTTTATGGCCACAACCAAAGTATGGAGATTGCAAACGCTGATTTTAAGAAGCTTTGGAAGAAAATCAGAGAGGTGTTGTTGAGAATTGCTGGCCGCATAAGTATTGCAAAGAGGAAAGAGTGGGAGAAGGAAATTGACGAATTTCTGTATAAACCACTAACACCAGATGCACAAGAAAATGTCGAACAACTTCGGTTATGGTACAAAGACGACCTGAAGCTTAAGGAAATGGTAGAAGAGATAAAAGAAGACGTCAAGCAGATGAAAATCAACAATGAGCAAATTCTCATTAACCAAGAGAAAATTATCATGAACCAAGAGCTACTTCTCATGTCTATTAACGTCATCGCAGCAGAGGTTGAAGGACGTGGGTCTTCTGTCAGTCCCTATTTCTTTGCAGCCCCACAAGCACAAGTTGCCCATATGCCATATAAAAATGAGGAGACGCAAATACCTATACCCCCAGACCAGTCATCAGTAGAAGACACTCCAACAGGTCCATCCACAAGCACGGAGCTTCAAGGAAGTCAGCAGAATCATCCACATTTCTGGTCTGTTATTTGTTCAGACAAGAAATTGTTAAAAAAAGTGGAAGAATATCTGAAATCACTTGGAGTTGACCTTCACGACTTCAGACAAGGGAGCTTGATCATAACAGTTTCCTGCAGTTCTTTAGAAGTTCTTGAGGCATTGTGGAAGGACTACCGGACAAGGCATCTTAATAAAGTGATTCAAGATACGCTTGTAACGGCAGAGGTTCTGGAAAAGCTTGACCTCAATAAGGTTGAACTGAGAACCATTATTTCAGAGGAAGACTACACGTCGTACAAACACTTTTTGAACTACAGACAAGGTATGATGAATTGTATTCAAATGACTCTGGCTAATAATAATAGTTTTATGTAATATAATATTCCGGGGATTATAGAGATTCGCGTGCTTTGATTGGCCGAGGATTGCATCACATGTCGCTTTATTCACCCCGCGCCGCTGAATTATAAAACTTCTTTGCCCCATTGTAATTTTATTATTGTATATTTGTTATTATTGTATATTACGACAGAATAGCCCCGTATAGAGGATTCGTAATAAAGTGTATGTTACGTTAATGTTATGTTATAGCGAGCACCAACTGAGAGAAACATCTAGTACAATCGAACAAAGAAAAGTGTTAAGTTCTCGTCTTCATTTGCCTGTTTCTAGGCAAATTCAGGATACTTAACAATAGGCCGTTTGCAATTGTACTAATATACTAGAATCCTTCAGGGTTTTGTTTTCGTTTGCAAACTAGGGTTTTTGTTATCTAAACCTCACTGGGATTACCAAATTTAAGGGACTTGTCAGAAATTGGAAGGGGGGGGGGGTGGGAATTTTAAATTTGGGTCTGGAAATGAGGTGACCCATCCCTGCAATGGGAGTGAAATTTGCTAACCCTCCCCTTGACCTTGGCCTAAAATATCTTGACCCTCCCCCTCTTGTATAAATGATTAAATCTAGTTCTTGCAATACACCAAGGTGAGTCAGTATTATGAAAGCTCAAAATATATTTATAATCTGTTCTTTGTAATCCCACTTACATACATTTTAGATGACAGCATTAAGAGTGCAACTCTGATTCTGACAGTTGATCACTCAACTCTCCTATTTCTCCCAAGTTTTTTTTACAAAATAAAGAACTTCTTTTTTCTTCTACGGGTGAACCTCTACATGATCACAGACACATATTTGCATGACCCTCCCCCTTTGAATGGCCCATTCTTCATGACCCCTCCCTTTTCTGCAGTCTCAAAAAGTTGTGACCCTTCCTCTGTTTCCACCCCCCCCCCCCCCTGCTAATTTCTGACAAGTCCCTAAATACGAAAGAAAAAACGAAATGAATTCTGGTCCTAGCAGTAAAAAGACGTCATCGTGCAAATGCCCTATTATTCTTTTAAATCGAGGTGAATAGAGGCTAATATTTACCGACCCGCGAGACAGCGAGGTTAATATTCCTAAAGCCACTATTCACCGAGATTAAGAAGAATAGTTATCTTTGTAACAAATACGTACACACCAGGTGATTTCAACAAAATCAGGCAGGAAACCATTTCGGCTACGTCCTCACGAATTTGGATAGGCTGAAACCGCATACTAAATATTTGCGTCAACACGAATTCTGGTTGTTGTATCCGGTTTGGATTCACCCATCCACACGAATACGCTACTGAGGTCTCGGAGGCCAACACAATCTGTCCACAATCGGTTTCACAAACAGATTGTGTCGAATTGAATAATAATCTATTAATTGACGGTTTAGTGATGCTGTGTCTCAACTTACTTTGTTTCTCTGCGTGGTAATCACATATATCGAGTTACAAACGTAACGTTACGAAAATTAGTATGTGCACCGAATTTATACCGCACAAACGTTTTTTAATGTAGGTTTGTAAACCAACACCCTGCGAGCAGAGCCTCCTGCTGTCAGGGCGGTAAACCAAAAGACGATTGTCAAGGGAGAAGGCCATGAGCAAAAGGAATGCTTGCTTGCATACTTTTTCAAAAAATTACTATATAAGCTCCAAACTAACCATATTGTAATCGCAGCCTTTACGTGCGTTTCCAAACAAACGACTTTAATTCTACACTGACTCTTTCTACTGACAGTTGAAACCCAACGAAGCAAGCCTAGGGTGCGTTGCATAGCGTAGCAATTTGAAGCAAAGCCGTACTGAAAAATAATAATTAACGCGTGAATACAAAGTCATGATCAAGAAAAAAAAAACATCGAAATCTAATGGAAGATAAGCTGGCAAAACTCAAAAAAGGCGAATGAAACAAACGAGATACTTACAAGACGATAACAATAACCAAGACGAACACACAGACGAGCAAAAGGCCAAGGAAAAAAAACTTAAAGTAACTGAACCAAGTACTGAACGTACTGGAGAACTGACATGAAGTTCAGGGGCACCCAAGGACAACTGTTTCCTGTAAAATATCTGTTTCAATTCGTAGAAGCGAAATTGTCTAGAATTTTCTATAGCTTGAGGAAGGTTAAAAATTTCTGGATGACCGTTCAATTCATGTACAATTTTCGAAGCTTATCTAATTAATTCCCCACGATTTTCTAAAGGTTAATTTTTCGCATTTCAATCCCCAGGTTAAGCTAAAATTTTTGGATACTTTGTTAAAACTTTGACATGCATCTAAATTTTTAGGGAAAATAATACTGATTGAAGCCCAATTGCATTGTAATTTCGAAGACTCAAGTTGCCCTAGGATGAGTAAACAGATGTAAATTTTATAGCGCCGCTTAGAATGCTTTTCTAGAGATCTAAAAGTGCTCTGGATAGACTAAAAAGCGTTTTCAATGTATTTAATAAGAGGAAACAGTCGTTGGGTGCCCCCGGAAGTTGAGCTACATATACATGTAGATTTAAAAGAACCCGGCTAGAGAACAAAGACACACGAAAAATAAACGACTAAGTCAGTACCTAAAACTGTACCAAACACGCATACGTGACTAGCAAAACCTTAGGAATGAGTCGACGAAAGGCGAACAAAAAAGTCAGCTTTAGAAAAGGCGTAGATTCCTTCCTTCCTGGAGATATACATATACGGTACCAAGACAACATCACCTTTGTAAAAAAACAAAAGTACCCTGCAAGGAGAGGTGTCTCTCTTTCATGGCTTTTAGCGTTTACGAAGTCATTTGCGTGGCTTGTCTGTTGCGTAGTTGGTTTGTTTACGCCCCGTGAAAAAACATTAGTGCAAGAATGAGTTGATCTATATCAGAGTTTTTGACGCAGTTTTGCTCAAGACATAGCAGTAATAGTTTGTTGAGTTGAGGTTATCGGTATTGTGATGCCGGGATCCCGGCTGACCGGGCCAAAGTAAATTTTCCATGCTTAACGGGCCAGCCTGGTGAACAAGCCAACAACAGGAGGGTAACACACTGCTCATGGATACTGTTTCTGTAAACATAATCAAATGGCCCCGGGTTGGTCAGCATTCTTGACCCCAATGCAAATCTTACGCTTCTGACAACGCGCAAGTCACCTCGGCAAAGTAAGCCAGCGCGGTTGTGTAAGCAGGCCCTAAATCTTGATAACACATGCGGAATCACGGACAGGATGCTCTGTTTTTCATCTGTTAATAACTAACTACAATAAGGTGTAAATTTGGAAAGCTTAAAAAGGAAAACCAGAAATTGTGCTTTTCATCTTTGTAATAGGTAAAAAGAAAATGCCCCAAGACCAAGGAAGTCCTCCCACGGAGCTTGTTGCAGGTAAGCCACATGAAGACATTTTCTTTCTGTTTAATTTGAATGACTAGGTGGAAAGAGTGGGAAATTCCCTTGACAAGTAAACGATTGTCATGTATCATCGTACCTTACCTGTCTGTCTACCGTGCAATAATTTGTTGGCTAGTCTAGGGCAAAACCAGGAGTAGGACCGGTTCTAAATGCAGACAACAAGCGAAACAAACCTCAGATCATCGAGTCGCGACTCTTTTGTCGTTGCAGCCAATCAAGTTTCCCTAACAATAATTTATTGCAAAATGCACCAAAAGTGGTCTGGCTCAAGTCCCCCAACCGCACTAGGGTAAATTATCTATGAAAAGGCCTGAGGGGAATGAATTATTTGATATTTATGATTTACAGTTATTTTAACCTTTTCCTCAAAATGGACTTTAATTTGAAACATAGCTTTGAAAGTGGCTACTATTCTTGTTAATACTGACTGTCTTGTTTAATACTAGTTTCTGATGTCAATGATTTACAGTTCATAAAAAGGATATCTCTTTCTCAGTCTAATCCAGATTAAGGCAACGGTTGTTTAACCATTTGCATGGGCAAACCGGTCGGTCCACGGTTTGGATAAATGGTACGTAACATTCAGGACTCGTAAATTTTGTTCCGGAATCGCGTTTAACATTTGTAGAAATCAGTTCCACTTACCGAAAAAAGAGCGCGAAGGCCTGAAACTGGTATCAAAGATGGCTTTGAAAAAATAGAACACGAATTTCCGTATGGAGCCTTAATTCCATTTGGAAAAACAGGACTGTCTTTTCAGATGTTTCGTCGCTCCCGGAAATTTTCTGCTGGAACGACCCAAAAAGTCGCGTTCCATTTACTTTCCAACCGGATTTTCCAGCAACGTTTTCAAGAAATGGTAAACAAGCAACTTATTTCATATTACTTTGAAATGATCAGACCTCAATAACACAAAAAGGTCGTGGAGTTATGATAGTAGTCATTTTGAATCTCTTACAATGGATTTTTGGTTCTCCTTTCTTCAATAAAGTCAACGCAGCATAATCTTTGTCTAAGATTTTTAATCATCAATGTCACAAAACGATACATAAATTAAGGCAAAAATACGAGGAAAAACAACAACAACAACAAAAATAAACATGAAGTTCTTATATTAACTAAACAAAAACAGAGAACACAGACAGAAAAGAGAACAGAACGGAGAAGGGATACGCGTCGCCGAAGGAGGGGGGGGAGGGTTAGAAATTATAACCCGGCAAAGAGACCGAGATCACGGGATAATTGGCTTAAACAGGCACCGAGAACTCTCCCGAGACTTCCACACGATTGTCTGTGGGGTGCTACGAGGATACCATGCAACATGCGCAGACAGTGGTAATGTTCTAACAATGAAAATAGTAATACACTGCGCATGACTCAAAGCCTAACTTACATAACATCCGGCATGAGTCATGCCTTTAAAAAAATTGACCTAATGGGCCTTGTTCGATTTTTTAAAATTCTAACATGACTCCGAAGCTTTAGGGTCAAAATAGCAAATTTTTCACGACCCCATTGTCTTGCAATTCCCAGAGGAGACTTGAGCACAAAGAAAACCAAACCAAATATAGTACAGAAAAATGACCAGAGAGCCTCGGAGTCATGTTACAATCGGTTAAGATATCAAACGTGGGCCATTACCCTAATAACGGTCACGGGAAATGGAAGTGAAAAATGGGAAAACAGAGAACTGGAAACGAAATTATTGATAGGGTTAAGGTTTACGTTTGGTTTTGTTCCCGCTATCCCGTTTCCCGAGCTCGTCTCCAGCTCATAGTTTATCTATCAATGAGAAAACTGAAAATTCAAATATACAGATTTAGCCAGGGCTACAAGAGAAGCTCTCGTTAACGAGATACTTGTAAACAAAAAAAGAAAATCGTGTAATACGACGGCAATAAAAACGGCAACAAAATCAATAGATGTAATTAGCAAAAAAATAAATTTGCACCTGCAGCACACTTTTTTGTACATTTCTTTGCCGTTGTTTTGCACGACTAGCATGTGAAACTTCCTAGTTACACATTATTCTTTATGAAAGAATTGTCGTATGTACTCACGAAAAATTTTGTTGCTTGTGTTCCTGTTCGCTTTTATTTTTCTTCACTGCCGCTCATTTTCAGTTTGCTGGTCGCTCCTTGCTGGCCGCTAGCATTTCTCATTTTCCTTACCACCGCTATGAAATTTTCATGTTTTTCTTCCAACGAAATTCGTCTCCTTTGCTTTTAATCACTCACTCTAGCTCTTTCTCTGTTATACACGTGAGTGCAGACGTCAAAATAACGTCGAAAAAGACTCGACTTTGTTGTTGTTTTTTCTCTCCGGGTGGCCATGCGATTTCCCGTCAAAAACACCTCGAGTTGCCTGTGGTATCATACCTGTTATTTTACATTGGTATGCCTGTTGTGCGGACAGACGGGTAGCCTGCGTAGCAGGCGTCGAATGGGGTAGGGGATAGGGAGAAAGGAAAAAAGGGAGGGGGATTGGGGAGAGAGGGGAAGGGACGCCTGCTATAAGAACCCCCTTTTGTTCATTTCTGCGGACGCTGGCGTCCCCAAATTCCTGATTGGCTGAGCCGTAATGAGTAACTTATTGGCGTGTATCCTGGCGTGTATTAGTGTGAGAGACAAACATGACGACGACATCAAGAAAAAAGTGTTCTACTAGCATAACCTTGGGAAGATCAATTAAAACTCGCACTAAAACCAACTGTAGCAGCTTGTTTAGTTGGCAGAGATGCTCAGGAGGTTTTGTATTAAATACTGGATTTGTCCAAACTCCGAGCAGCGATTCAAAGCGATTGCGATTCTTGCCAGACATCTGCAATGCCGATATTCACAAGACCACCTTTTCCGCAAAAACATATACCGTCTTGAATGGAGTTGGTAAAAATTATCCGTTGAGCGTTTTGACAATTGTTTATAATTCTCCTTTGCTTTCATTATTCGCGTCTCAGGCTGGCCAATGTTCTGTCCTTTGTGACCATCACGGTGCTTGATGAGGTTGTAAGACAAAAGGTCTTCTGTATTCACACGAAACTGATTATTGTTTGTCGTAGACTGCGAGCAGTAAAAAATGAGAGACTACTCGTAGTCTATGTTTGTCGTGTTTGCTGCGGGAGTATAGGAAGAGTAAAAATGTTTCACTTCGCTCGATTATGATATCATTTGGAAAAAGCGTCTCAACTTGACAATTTCCGGTAAACAAAGTAATTATGTTCGGGCCATGCTGAGAAGCCCCGTACTTGTGATTGGTCAGGTATTGACAGTGACATCGGATTAGTTGAGAAAATGGTGGGCGGATTACAAAAACACCGGCTCTTATAGCAGGCGCTCCCTTCCTTTTCCCGTCTTTCGCGCTTTTCTCCCTCCCTCTCCCCTTCCCCTTTTTGCGCCTGCCACGCAGGCTAACAGACGGGCGAACAGGCGTAGGGTCACGTGATTACCAAAATTTCTCGGATGGATTACCAAATTTTCTTATGTATGGGGCTCCGCTTAGCGCGCGCGTGGAGCTCCGCTATTATTCTATCAAGGGTTTGTCCTGAATGACCCTCTGAGATTAACCGGTAAGGAAAAATTTTCTACAATAAATCACGTGACTTTTTTATATTCTTTCTATTTTTCCTTTTTATATTCTTCCCCGTTCAGGATACAGATTGTACCTTTTATGCACCAAATCCCTAAATACCGCATGGTTTTTAAACTGCCGCAATTAATTATTCTTGCTCACTCCATATATCTCTTTTTTCCTTAATCCTCGAAGAATTTAAGGACGATTAGTTATCTCAGGCTCATACCTTCTGTCGACGTTAAGACTAAATGAACGTTAAGCCAACAAGAGGAAAAAAGCTTTCTTTCGGTGTGGGTCCTCTTCAAGGTCAACGGACGGGCATAACCTTATCATGCTTGAGTTCAGGGATCTCACGTCCAACGGATTATGGCACGTTCCCACTGACACCCAAAACCTTATATAAAGTTGAAATTACAGCGTATTGAGCAGCCAATCTAAATATACCAACCATTTCATTCATGATTTGTCAATTCAAGCGTCTTGGTCAGGTTTCGGGTCTAAAAATTAAAGCGATTTTTGTTTTTGTTCTTGGTTTTTGTTTTTGTTTTTTGGGACTCAAAGAGTGGTTGTGCCACATTCAATTGCGATGAAAACTTCGGAGCATTTTGGAAAAAGGGCTGATGGAGTCTCACGATTTTTAGTCGGGTGTGCATGGCTGGTCTAATGGCCTGTCATTCACCTTGGGTTCACCAATCACTCGGTAATAAAAGCTTTCATGCCAAAGCCTGCTCCAAGCAAATCAGATCACAAGGCGCGGGAGATAGTCTTAACGGTAACGTATCCAGCTGATTTGCCCACATATGTATATACTTCAATTCCGTGTTAATCTCACTTTTTTCTATATTCATGCTCCCATCCGTTGAGACCAAGCTAGGAAGAGGGAGTGGGAGATCTACACTTCTTATATTAAACAATTTTTAAGAATATACGATATTTATCACACTTCAACATTTGATGTGCTTATAATAAGTGGTGGTTTATGTTTATTTCTTTTCAGCTGCATTTTGGAAAGATTTTTCCATATGTACTAGATAATTATTATTTAAGTGACTGACTTTAATTCTCGATCGTTCTCCAACCCGGGGCTTCCAATTTAATTGACTCTCGTATTTTTAACTCGCTCCGTTAAAGATTCCAGGGAAACTTCCCACCCACTCCTCCCTTCCCAGTTTGACATTGCATTTTCTGTTACTTTTTTCTTCAGTACCACCCAGTATTAGCGTAGCTATGGCTACAGGTACTTCATCTGATGCAGAAGAAGAGTTACGTCCAACAAATGAAACTAAGACAAATTTCCAGCGGTTGGCACGGCTTCTGATGTGTGGAGGACTCGCACTTTTAAGGGAAGTGTTTGACGCTATCCATCCACCAGCCAACCTTCCAGCTGTGCTTGGTAACCCTTCCACAAAAAAGCAGCTGCAAACACTGAGAAGAAACCGAGTCCTTACCCACCCCGAATGGTACTCCCTCTACGAGCCAAGTTGGTCAGGAATGTATGGAAAATCGGCCGACTTTGATATCAGCCTACTCTTTAAATTGCTTCGAGCAATATGCAACCTGACGCCTCCTGCTACTGGATGGGACAACTTGCCGAATCGCACTGATCACACTCTTGAGGCAGACTTAGTTAGAATAAAGTTTTACCGAAACAAAGTTTATGGTCACAGCCACAGCATGGAGATAAAAGATGCCGATTTTGAGAAGCTTTGGATGGAAATCAGTGAGGTCCTATTGAGAATTGCTGGCAGGATAAGTAGTGCAAAGAGAGATGAGTGGAAGAACTCGATCGAAAGGTTTTTCCGTGAACCACTAACACTAGACGCAAAGAAAGGTGTTGATGAACTTCGATTGTGGAACTTAATGGATATGGATACTAAAGACAAGATCGAAGAGCTAGGTGAAAAGGTGAAACAGATGGAAATTAAACTAGAACAAATGAAAGTTAAAGCAAACGAAAGGTACATGAAAATTCTCATCGTCCTTGAAAGTCCTAAGGCTAGTTCCCTACAAGAGGAAAGTGCCCAATCCCCATCTGGAAGGGTGGACACACGCAAACCTCTACCCCCGGAGCAGCCAACCGTAAAAGGAATTACAGGTCTTTCCACAAGCACAGAGCTTCCAGCAAGTCAGAAAAATCCAGTAGTTCTTGATTTCTGGCATGTTGTTCATTCATTCAAGAGGCCATTAGAGCTCTTGTTCCAATACTTGAAAACGAAGATTGGAGTCGACGTTGAAGACCACACCAGCAGCTCCGTCATAAAAGTTTCCTCCATTTCTTTCAAAGGTCTTAAGTCATTGTGGAAGGACTACCAAAACGGGCATCTTAACAAAGTAATTCAATCTACGCTTGTAACGGCAGAGGTTCTGGAAAAGCTTGACCTCAGTGAGGTTAAACTGAGAGCTGTTATTTCAGAGGAAGACTACTGGTCATACAAAGATTTTCTGCAGTACAGTCAGTCAGGCAAAGGTAAGATATTTACCAAATAGATAATAATCAGTAATAAGAACCGTGGCCTTAAAGCTGAAACACTTGAAACCTCGATACTTGTTAAAACGACACTTTACACACACAACAGTAACTTCTCATAAACCTACCGTGCGGATCCTTGTTCCTTGTGCCACTTGTAACGTCATATCACTTTTAACGATGTTAGAGAACTTTGACATCAATGAGATCGTTGATCTCAACGATCGTTCTAAATAAACCCAAAAATCGCGTTCCCATTCAAACAATTCAGAAAAAGAAAAACGAAAAAATGTAATTAAGGTTGACGCGAAAATTTCCATGACTATCTTGTTCCTCTAACCTTTAGCACTACCGTCAAAAGAAAATTCACGATCCTGGAAAGTTTTCGCAAAATTCCCTGGAAAAAAAAGCCTAGTATACTAAACAACGGTAATATCTTCGTAAAAGAGGGAAAACGGACTTGTGAATCTGGAAAAACTTCGAAAGCTAAAATTTCACATAAGGAACAGAAGGAAGTATTGTGCTCTACTTGTTAGAAAGGTTTTAGGCAGTTTTGGTTCTAAAAAACTGCTTGACTAGTTTCAAACGGAAGTTTTCGTCAAATTTTTCTAGAAAAAGGCTATTTGCAGCCGAACTGTTTATTCAGAAATAATAATTACTCGATCATGGTTCATATTGTTAGAGTGATTTTACTTAAGCTGTGAAACAGATACTAACATTTACTGCCAAATACTGCCACAAGTAAACAAAAAAGACAATAGAATTACAGTGAATAATAAATAGTGCGTAGTAGTCTACTGCCTATTTCACGGTGAAATAAGACGTGGTTTAACTTCTTTTGTGATCTTGTAGTTGGCTGCATCTAGTTGCGTTATTTTGAACACTGTCTAGTAACAGGAAAATTTTCTTTCAAAGTTGCCATTTGAGTTAATATCGTTGAAAGATTCTTCTTTTACAACTTTGGTGAAAAACGCGGTAAACCTTCACCCCGGGTTCCTCACTTAAGTGCTGAAAGGAAAGCTGCAAATTGTTTTTCTTTTTTAATTTTTTTTTATCCTCATTAGGTGAAGGGGAAGAGACAAAGCCAATTCCTCAAGTTCAAGAAAGTCCGGCAACGGAACTTGTGGAAGGTAAGATAAACACTGAGAAGTGTCCTTGTTACCTCTTGCACGACCAGGTCAAAAGAAGGGGACAAAAACATACTTGACAGTTAAATAGGTTAAGTTATTGATATGAACATCGATTAGTTTTGATCATTCAATATGATCATCAATCTTGGGGTACAGTTGTCATATTCTCAGACGAGGTGAATGCGACTTGTGGTTTCCCACAAGGATCGGTTCTGGGTCCATGTTTGTTTAGTTTGTACATTAATGACATGCCAGAGAGGGTGACGTCTATGGCGTACGATCCCCGCCAAAATTCATTCTTCCTTCAGATTTCGCATCATTGGAACACGTTTTTACACTCGTCTTTTATTTTTTAAACTCAACTCTTTTACTTGCTCGCCGTATATTTTCAACTCACTTCATCAAATTACACTTGCCGAGTCATTTTATATTTCAAACTCGACCTTGAAAATTTTCAACACGACTTCTGAATTTTCGTTCACGCTTCAGTGATCGTTGATCAAGACCATCTGTCGGGGGGTGCGTCGTGAGTGGCTCTTTAGTCCATCATGCTTTGCGCCTTTTGTACAAACATGGCTGCAGCGTTCGCACTTGCTGTTGTACAAGAAACTTTGGAGCCTTTAGATTCCTATCAGGACGGTGATTATAGCGGAATTTGCTTCGATTGGAGTATTTAAATCGTATTATTATAAATTGTGGGGATTTACCCCATTCTATCGTGGCTGGCATAGGATCCGCCATTACATGTTTATCGAGCGCACAGAGATAGGTTGAAGGTGTTTTTGACAGGCCAAACACGACTCATAAGCTCGTGATAGTGTGATAGGTGACCTTATAGTTTTCCTCTAACGAGGATATCTCTCAGCGATTTTGCTATTTTATATGAAATGATGGGAGGCTAGTTGTATATTTCTCTCAGTAGTGGTTGATCTTAATGACATCTGTCGCATGAAAGACAAAATAGAGAGCTCCGAACAATCAGTCATTAAACTGAAAAGACACATGGAAATCGGCACTTGTCCGCCAGACTTGCGTTACGACGCAAAAGCGACAATTTTCCGGACGAGGACTTTAAGTCCGACATTAGAGCCATCCGAAAGGAGGCTGAGCAGAAATTTCTAGGAGCGCTCATTAAGTTTCACAACCGTCGCATCGACCGCAACCAGGCACAATTGCGAAAAGCCAAATCTTGTACAAAGAATACATCCGTTTAAGCAGGCAAAAGCCAATCTGACTCACGTAACATTCCAGAAAGTTTAAAAGCAATCACAGCTAACCCAGAGAAACGTCTTGAAGAAGTAAATGCAATGTTGTACGACCTTAAAGAGGCAAACAATAAAACTGTTGAAACTTACACTTGTGTGGTCTCTGAGCCAGGGTCTAGTAATAAGAAGGACTACGGGATTAGAAAGCGCAAATTTAAGAACAAAAAACACACAGAAAGACGAAAGAAAACCCGCAAAGATATTAGAGCTATGAAAACAGAATCCAATTGTTGGTTTTCACATGAACACTAAAATTCAAACTACAGAACTATCGATCTTACTGAGATTTTACTTTTATGGGGTATTAAAGCAGCTGAAAACTAATTTCAAACAAATTTTCGCTTCAAAAGGGCTCTTGGTTTTGTAATAGAGTATGCTTAAATTTCTAAGCTTTCGCGTGACGCAGCATTTACATGACGGCCGAGAGAGCTGTCATTTAGGTGAAAAAAGTGACTTTTTTCGAGGAATTCTGCTATCTGAACAGTTCAAGTATTAGAAAAAGTGTTACTTTAATGTTCATGAGTCCCTCTAGGAGTAAATGCACGCTTTTGTAGCAAAACTCGATAACAGATGTTTCTGTTGGTTTCCGTCCGCCATGTTGGAGCTCATGCGGATGAGCTGCAGCATGGCGTCTCCATACAAAGCTCTATAAATTTGAGTAGAACATTTCCTTGGATAACTCTTATGCGAAGTATTCCTTCGACCCAAATCTTGGCGAGGGTCTTTGTATATTTACTTACTTTCATTTCCCAGATTCTGGACTTTATCTGTTGAATGGTTTTGATTTTGATTTATTTTGAATGGCGTGACACTAAAATCAGCAGTAGAAAATACATAAAGAACCTCTGCAATCTAGAACTTACAAATGATCAGATAAATCTGCTCTCTCATGGATTAAAATTTGTCCCTACGCCTATAATAAACGAAACCGCATTAAGAAAACAACTCTTTACAGACTTCAAAGATTTTGCCAGTAGAATGCGGCTCCAGTTTATATATCACGGCAAGGGCAAAAACATCAACCCCTTCTACGTTAAGTCAAACTGGGAACCACCAGTTCAGCAGTCTGTCACCCAAGAAAGCTATCTAGAAGAAATTAAAATACAACTTGCGCACACACCGATAACCAAAGCTATACCCAACCTACCGCTAAATGAGAGAAAAGCTATCACAGAGCTAAAAAATAACTCTGAAATAAACGTCAGGAAAGCGGATAAAGGTACTACCACGGTCATAATGAACAAACTAGAAACACAAGAGGGGCAGACCCTACTAGACGATGGAAACAACTACACACCCCTCGAAGACCCCATGGCAAGGACAACTTTCCAAAAAGTAAAAAAAAATAGTCGAAGAACTACATCAGGGAAGTTTTATTGACGAAATCACTGTTAAATGGTTATCACAGACACCTAACCGACCCAGAATACCTGTCTTCTACAGTCTCACAAAGATTCATAAGCCAACTCCTGTTGGCCGACCTATACGGTGGCAGGAAACGACGGACCCACTGAACGGATGTCATCATTCCTTAATGACCTACTTCAGCCTATAGCTAAGTCACAAATGTCCTATCTTAAGGACACAACCGACTTTGTTAACTTCATAGAAAGGAGACACCTCCCAGAGGACGCTTTCCTAGTCTCCTTAGACGTTGCTACACCGTACACAAATATCCCACAGGAAGAGGGAATAAACACAGTATGCAAAGCATACTAGACTTTCCACGGGGAAAACACCCCTATCCCCACCTAATCCCTCAGAAGAATCCTAAAACTTATTCTGCAAGAGAACTCGCTTGAATTCAACGGCAAAAACTATCTCGAAACACACGGAACCGCAATGGGTACAAAGATGGCAGTCGCCTTTGCCAACATCTTTATGTCGGTGGTAGAGACAGAATTACTGGACCTCAGCAAAACTAAACCCCTTGAGTGGAAAAGATACATTGACGATATTTTCTCATTGTGGAGAACTGAGAGGAAGGAGATAGATGAATTCATTGCTCTTGCAATCAGGCATCACCCTTTAATTAAATTTACGGCTGAAATATCTGACAAAGAGATTTACTTTCTGGATACAACGGTTTACAAAGGCGAGAGATTTCACAACCAAGGAATACTTGACAACCGCACACTTTTTAAACCTACAGAGACTTTTCAATACACGCATTTCTCTTCCCGTAACCCTCACGGGGTAAGAAAAGGTCTCATAAAGGGCGAAGCCCTTAGACTTCTGAGAACTAACTCCTCAGCTAAATCCTTCTATGAGAACATCTTCTCTACAACTTCAAAAAACGCCTTCGCGCTAGAGGTTACCCTCACAATCTCATAGGAAAAATCACCTCTAAGGTTAAATTTACCGAACGGAAGTCAGCTTTAAAAACGAACAATGAAGTGCGAAAGAAAATTATGCCTTTCGTTACCACGTACCACCCTGCTTTGCCGAACCTTAAAAACATTTTAATGAGCAAATGGCACTTAATTCAAGATCAACCACTACTGAGAGAAATACAACTAGCCTCCCATCATTTCATATAAAAGAGCAAAATCGCTGGGAGATATCCTCGTTAGAGCAAAACTACAAGGTCACGTATCACACTATCACGAGTTTATGAGTCCTGTTTGGCCTGTCAACACCTTCCACAGATGGTCTTGATCAACGATCACTGAAGCATGAACGGAAATTCAGACGTCGTGTTGAAAATTTTCAAGGTCTAGTTTGAAATATGACTTGGCAACTGTAATTTGATGAAGCGAGTTGAAAATATACGGCGAGACGAGTGTAAAAACGTTTTCCAATGATGCGAAATCTGAAGGAAGAGAGTAAAATTTTATAGTCGGCTATAAAATTCAAGTAGAAATTTAAATGATGAATTTAAAATTCAAACAATGAATTTTGGCGGGGATCGTACGCCATAGCTTCCTTGAGTGTGACCTACGGAATAACCATCTATAGAAACTGCAATAACTTTTATCCCGATAAGCGTTTCACTGTGGTGCTGGAGGTATACCATCGAGAAGAGTCATGAAAGTTTCTCAATGGGTACTCGATTTATGAAATGTACAAATAAAGTCTTTACTTTTGTTAAATTATTTTACAACAGAGCTGGCGACACGCCCTCTTTGATTTCACATTACGCTGTATTTGAAAGAGTGTGTCGCATAACCTAATAGTAATAAGGCTGTGGCTCCGCGATTTTCCACTCTGTATCTTAGTAGAGGTGCCGTGCTATGGAACTTTGCTTCCATTAATGAATTACCAAAACAAAGGGACTGGATCTATCATTTAGTGAATTAACTTTAACAATCTATCTGTTCAGTCAACTAGTGCCTAAGAAGATGCCCGATTTGGAATTATACAGTGTACAGTGTTTACATTTCCATTTATTGTATATAAGGAAATTTTTAACGTAAATTTTAAATTTTGAATCGTTTTAAATAAAGGATATTAACTCATCCAATCATTGATGAGAGGAAGGAGGAAAGGGATATGTGAAGAAATTTTACCACTCTTTCTCTGTCAGAAGAACTCCTTCATTAGCAGTAGTATTTAAGCTAAGAGCTCTAAGGCATATCGTTAAACCTGTAACAAAACGAGAGTTAAAATCACAAACGTTTCCCGAAGTCTCGAATTATGTTACAGTCGTTTATATGGTGGTTCTGAAGTGCCGATTGATATTTGCTGACTGCATACAACAAGAGTTTAAAAAAAAACCCGTGGCAGGGTCTCTTATAATTCACCTTTTACGAAAGGTTAGCCAAGTGATTACATTAATCCACTCATTTATCTCATTTTTCTCTGGAGACGACCGACCGAAGGAGAATTTTTGCGGGCTCAGTATCTTCAAATTGTGTCCTTTTGTCTTCGTTAGGTGAAGGGGAAGAGACAATGCCAATTCCCAAAGTTCAAGGAAGTCCTGCGACGGAGCTTGTTGAAGGTAATATAAACAGAGGTTTCCTTGTTACCTTTTGAATGACCAGGTCAAGGGGACAAAAATATACTTGACAGTTAAATGATTGATGTGAATATCGATTACTTTTGACCATTCAATCATCATCTTATCAGAGGGAAGACGAATTTTTACCCCTACCTTTTTGGACACTTTCATTTAGTAGTATTGTTCAAGCCGTCGACATTTTACAGCCGATTATTTGGTGGGGGGTGGGGGGAACTACATCTTTGATTGCTTCTGAATTGCTGACGAAGGAGGATTCTAGCAGGGCGGATAAAGGTTGGACGATGAAACGAGCGCGTCGGAGCCAAAAGGTGTGATGCAGTGGACTTGGACTCTTAGAAAAAATGTCGCCTGTCTTCAAATTTGGTCGGGGCTTGTGATGTGGTTTCTCCATTAGACACTGCTGTCACTAAATTATGGCGGCTTGAGTTGTTTTCTTGCACTTCTTCCTCGTTGTCTGGTTACTTCGATGACTCTACCAACCATATTTTCGTTCTCATACTCGCCACTGATGATGTACTTGCGAAAAAAAACAAGACGATAATTAAAACCTGTCTAAAAACACGAAGCAAATCCTCATCCATGGTAAAACGAAAAGAAAGCAGATGTCATATAGATGACCCGTGTATTCTATAATGCATGCTACTCCTGCACGGTTAATTAAGATTAATTATTAAATCACCATCACGTTTCTAGTTTTTATTTTCCTAGAACATCTGGGCATGTCCTTCTGTTTCTTCAGAACTTCAGAATTAGTTGCCCCTAAGTTTTGACTACTTTGCTGTGTTTTATTGAGAAAAACGGAGAAAAACCCTTCCACCTATAAACTTTCAATAAATTTTGTTTGACATTTGCGACATATTGCACGAATCGCCAAGTCGCCTTACAACTGAGAGGCAAAGTTTTGAAGTACTTAGTGCAACGCCACTATCTCCCAATACCCCCGGCTAAAGTTTTGTTATATAAATTCATCGCTCTTTAACATATCATAAATCATGGTGGAGTAGTTTGGAGTTTTTGTAAACGAAACGGCAAAAAAACGATTAGGTCAGATTTAGCGGCAAGAGGAGGTACTCAACATTTTCAGGCCACGTCCACACGAATCCGGATACGCTGAAAACGCATACTTGATATTTGTGTCAACACGAATCCGACTTGGGTTCACCCACTCACACGAATACGCTACTGCGATTTACATTTGGTAATTACCAGCGAGTAAGTATGCGCAAAACAAGACCGCGATGTGACTTCGCCGCATTTTTAAATGTTGTTACCGCTATATCGAGCAACACTTGCAATGAGAAGGGCGATAGCAGCCAGCAACAAGTTGGAAAAAGAACATTAGGTGCGGTTACACGAGACACTTTAACCGTGGTACATGACCCTTTTACCGTGGGAAATTGGCGTGGTCCGTTTGGCCGGACTTTCCCCGAGATAAATTTATGGTGGGAAATATCCATAGTTACTTCAAAAAGAAGAAAGAAACCGCCCAACAAATTTGACGTGGCAAATAGCTAGGGTTTTTCGACACCCAAGACAAGACAGCCAACCAGGTTTCTTCATTTGACACCAACATGGAACCGCAAAAAATTGTTTTTCTAACGGGTTTCTTTCGCGCTGTTAAGAGAAAGATCGATGTTAACATGGCATATTTAGAAGATAAAAGCAACAGGGAAATTTTCAACATAACATGAAATACTACCATGATCGACGGTGATTATTACTGCAGAAGTGCAAACGGAGCCGTAAAGCGCAGCTAAATTACCTTAGGAATCAATTCACGTGTAACCACATTTGACCACGGTACACTATAAATCTACGTTAAATTTACCATGGCTTCGATAAGCGTGAGAAATGCCTTTTACCATGGTGTGCGTAACCGCACCTATTGTTCATTGTTGTTAGCCATTTTGAAAGTGAAAGTTTTCATTTAACACTGGACCCGAGTTAATGACGTAGTGACGTAAATGTCCGGTTTCAGTCGTCCACATGGATTCACCAAACCAAACATCCATTCTGGAAAGCGGTTCAAAAATGTGCGTTATCGGTGTGCGGATTCACTGGTTTTGTGTAGACGGAAGGCCGTTTAAAAAAAGTATGCAGTGGACGGGGCCTTAAACTACTACTGAAAGCTCTGTACCTAGAAGCGACTTTAACTTTCCAAAGGTTTACAGCAAAACACTGCTTGATAGCTCAAATCTTCGGCGGTTCTTATCAGCTGTACGGAGCTACATGTTGCATATTCCATACTCTGCAGAGGAAAATTGTTTAACAGAAAAAGAAAACCACACACTATGTCTGAAAAGCAACAGGAAATCAATAAATTTACGAATTACCAAAATATAATAGTGAGAAACAGTCCCGCGTTCTACCGCCATGTTTTTTTTTCTTCTCAAGAACGTTTATCTATGCATTTTGACGTAATGCGCATGGTCAGTACTCAAATCCGCTGGCAAGACCTTTGCTGATCGCTTTGCAAGTTGTGAGAACATCGTTTGGATTTCACTTAAGAGAATGTATTGCAAGTCGCCCCCCAACTGTTTCACACTATAGCCTGAAATTACAAAAAGAAAATAGGATTTCCGGTCTGCACAAAGGAAAATTTCGCCGGCAATCAAACACACCGGAAGCGCGAAAAGTGCGCTCGTGCCAGTCCTGCTCCGCATCACAAATCACTTGAGGAGCGGAGCGATCGTTTTAATCGCCCACCTTTATCCGCCCTGATTTTAGACTACGTACTGGGCGTGCCACAGGCGGCCAGTAATAGACCAGTTTCGAATATTAAAATTCATACTTGGCTATACGTTGCGAGGAAGGAAAGGAATAACTAGTTTCTAAAATAACCGCAAGGTTTTCCAGTTAAAAACTAGTCAATTAGAGTTACCTATAAATTGACTTTCGTAGTTTTCGTATTTCTAGCCGTTATTTTGTTGCTTTTACCTTTTCTATGTACATCAATACCTGGTCAATTTCTGGACAACCTAAAACAATCAACCAGTCTAATCAAGTGTTAGGGAAAAAGTAGATTCATTCGAAAGAGCCAATGCACGTTACACGTGCCTATGTTGTTGTTACAGGTGTGAAAGAGGACGAACCTACATCGCCCTAACCAAATAAGATTTCCACTATAACCAACTCGCTAAGCTATCCACTTATGTCCAGGATTGCACTCTGTCGCAATAATTTGTTAACATTTTTTTTCGCAATTTTAGCAAAAAAAAAGGTGTAAGGAAACTGCTTGCAGAAATGTCTAACTGAAATAGTAAATACAGCAAGAATAAAAAATTCAACAAGGATTGCAAGCTTAAGAAAAAATTTGCTTCGTCACAATTTTAACAAAAAAAGTTTAATGGAAACTGCTTGCAGAGATGTATAGAAGAAATAGTAAATTAAAGCAAGAATAACAAATTCAACAAGAATTGCAAATTCGTAGAAATAACAAAAAACTTCATCTGCAATGTTTTGAAAACTTGATAACAGAAATCGAAAAAATCGCAAAAACAACTTCTTTAGCAAAACAAACAAGCATAAAGAAAGAAGAAAAAGAGAGCCTCGAAAAGGCCGCAAATTTGGCAAAAATCGCAAAAGTAACAAGAATGTTTCATTGCAACAAGAAAAACACGTTATCAAATATCGCCAGAATAGAAAATTTCGCAAAAGTTCAGACTTGTAAAGAAGCAAGGTAAAGAAGGCCCTAAAAAAGTCAATCCTGGACATATCTCAAGTTATTACAAGATCTTGGGTCAAAACGAAGAAGGTTCAACTCGGTTCATTGCTTGGAATTCCTGAGGAAAAACTACAAAATGTTGGTACGACGAATTAACTCGCACACAATAAACTAAAGGAGATGCTATTTGAGTGAGGAGAATCAGTGAAGCTACTGCAGTGAAAGACTTACAAGAAGCACTGAAGATGATACGAAAGAGTCATCTCTTTAAACTACTGAACGAAAAGAATAATCAAACTGATCATAGTGTTGATCATAGTTGGGTGGACTAACTGTCATGTGGTGGCGCGGAAAAAAGGTTCTCCGACCCATAAATCTAAGACAAGTGTGTGTCGCCCAGGGTCTTAAGCCCAGAACCTTTTTAAGGATGAGATAAACGAAAACGGTTACCCTATTTGTAGCCCAAACCCGAGACCCCCATTTGAGGACAAAAACAAAGGATAGGAATTTACTGACATCACACAACCCTTCATTAAATCGCTTTCACTACGCCAACAGATGATTTGTGACATGTGAAATTGGTAAAGATAGCAAATCATGGAAAAGGCTGTTTTCAAAAAGGGAATAAATAACCCGCGATTCGCTTTAACCTTAAGCGAGAACTCATTTAATGATTTGCCACGGGTAAAATTTTACATAACGCTGGGAGTCATATTTGTCGCGATTTTCAAGCTCATTGCTCATCTAGCAACGTTGAGGCTTGGGCTCAAATGTCCCACTGAGTTCAGGGCATCTGGTATAGAATACGCATAACTACCTTACATCTTTCCTTAGTGATTACCAAATAGAATACATTTAAAATTGAATGTATAATTTAGAAACGTTGTAGTTGAAGTAGCCTTTTCTCAATATGATATTCCCGTGTGTGGCACTTAACTCCAGTTATATTGATGGACTGTGCGAGTAACGAATAATTAGAGAATTTTAGTTTCTTAGTCAGATCTTAAGGAAATAAGTAGTCTTTATGATATATTATTTCACTTTTAACTTTTTTATAAGTAACATTTTCATTGCAAGCAGTATACTTTTGAGGGCCTCTTCACATGAGCCCTGTCATATGGACACATCGAAAATTTTACAAAGGATTTAGAGGTAAGGCGGGATCTCGGAAACCGGGCAAACCCTGTCATCCGGGCTCATAAGAAGAGGCCCTATAACTACTCTGCAATGTTTGTTTAGCTAGTATTCAGCTATTCTTTAACTACAAGTCACGACTTGTCCGGTTCTCTTGTATCGAGGACCCTAAAACGTAGTTACTGAGTTTATATAGATACCTCTACACTTTTATATTAAAAGATTAGTCGGTAGTTTTATTAAAAATTTGTAATTTGTAACTTTTTATTGTAATGTGCCTTTAATTTTTTTCCATATAATGCGCAAAATAGGTAATTAACTTTAATAACATTTAATGTTATTGTTACTGTTACAAGATCTTAACAAAGAGAAATTATCTAAGCATTTCAAAAGTGTACTATTGACTTTTAATATATAATTAATTGTACCAACTAGTTAAGTGTTCTTTAGAGCATATCATCATTTACCGTAAGAATTAGAAATGAAAAGAGGTTGCCTATTTCTGTAGTTTTCTTAGTATTTTAAATAAAAGTTGTGGTTGTTGTTGTTTTGTGTTGTTGTTGTTGTTGAAATGTCTTTCAGTGTTAGTGGGGAAGTGAAACACAAAATCTAATTTGATAACGTCAATTTACCACGTGACCGTAAAAATTGACTTATCAACTCAGTCGATAACACCAACTTTTTTAAAAAAAGTTTTCTATAATTTAGTAATTTATCGGGCAGATCCAAGAAAAGGTTTATAAAATAAGAGCACTTGGGTGCTAGTACCGGGCAAGGCGCCAAAGAACACTTGATTCTAATATAAACAACCCCCTTTTTAAGTACCCTGGAGAGACATCGGACACGGTGCCAGTGCCCAATTACAAGGTCGAGACAATGTACTCGAGCACCAAAGTGAGCACAAGGCTCCAACGTGCTCACGCCTTTTGTCAGTTCCAAGGCAATCCACTGCTTTTCATAACCATTAGACTTTCTACAACTCCGTTTTAGTTGTGTCATATGTAACGAGGGAAAGCGGTCAACTTACTCGCGCTTCGTTCACGTTTTCGCGACTTCGTCTGCCGGTCTGCGGAGCGGGAGGTCGTGGGTTCAAACCCCGGCTGGACCAACACTCAGGGTCTTAAAATAAGTGAGGAGAATTTGCTGCCTTTGTTGTAACATCTACAAATGGTTAGACATTCTAGTCTTCTTGGAAATGGACAAAACTCCGTAGGCCCCGCCGTCTTACAACTCTTTCACTGTTCTGATTCTTGTGGGGCGTAAAAGAACCCACACTGCTGTTCGTAAAGAGTAGGGGGCGTCGACCCCAGTGGTGTGGTACAACCTTTCATGGGCTGGGTGGGTAATGAAGGGGTTGATACAGGAGTCTATTAATTGCAGGGACGTACGTCCTGTTTCATCCCCTGTCACCGTGTTAAGTCACCGTGGCGAAATCAATAATAGTCGACTTGTGGGCAGGTCTACGTACCCGTAGAATGCCGTGCAATTTTAAACTGTTTTTGTCATTACTGAAGTACGTTCTATTTGGGCGTGTGTTTTGTTGCTTTGATATCACTCCTAACATTTAAACCAACTTTAAAAACAGCAAGTGCAACACAATAGCTGGTTCTGTTATAAGCGGGTTGGAGTTAGGGAAAGAAGGGAACGTGGCAGGAAAAAGAACAGGGAAAAACAAAACAGCTGGTTTTGTTATCAGCAGTGTCACTGCTTTTATGTCGATGACATTATCAAGCGTCTCATTTTTAAAAAGAACTACTGTATTAAGCAGCCAGTTAGCAGTTATTTCTTGATCTACTGTTCATAAGTTACCAACTGATAGATTTCTGTGGTGTAGTTTGATAAATTATTGTTTTATTAAGAAATTTCCAGCAACTTCTTTAATGCAAATAGCTCATAGGTTCAAGGATAAAGGACTGATATAAAAGAGATGAAGACTCAATTGTCACATTTTTTGGAACAACAATAACATTATTTTCAACAAAATAATGTAGGTAACCCTGTCGAATAATCATTAGCCTATTAGTCATGTTTTAAGTTCAAATAACTGAAGTACAAAATGGAACCTTCAGATACCAGCCTGTATGACCTTGACAAAAGTGCCACCTGCTGCACAGGCTAACAGATGTACAGAATCAGCCCATCATTTTAAGATACAATGTAAACAAAGTGTGTCAGGGTTGTTTAACTTGTCATAGGTATGTCAGTGTTGTTAAACTTGTAGGTATACGATAGATATATTTTAAACCCTGTACATAATTCCTCTAGTTATCTAGAAAAGAGCTTTTTGTAATGTTTGACTAAAGAACAAAGATATCATTGCGTTTCCTGCACTTGGCTTATCACTAACACACACCCACGGGCCTTCGAGTGACTCCTTCCATAAGCTCACCTGTATAAAAATACGTTTGCATTACTATCGGTGGTGGATCCAGGGGAGCCCCCCCCCTTATTTCTAGACAAAAGTGAGGACCAAAGGGCCAAAAACAATTTTTTTGGAGACAAAACAGACAAAACAGCCTATGAGATAGTAAGCACAGTATATTTATTCTAGGTTAAGATTTGATCCTTAAGGTTAATGCTATTCATTATCAGCCTCTTTATGGGATTGGCCTGCAAATGCAGTGGTGCTCTTAGCACTTATTGTCTGGCAGAGATAATCAACCACCAGAAAACGATTATGTCCACAGACTACTGACAAATTGGGCCCTGAAGGCCTAACGGTGAAGATATCAACCTTTTCACACAAAAGCACAGTCACCAATAAGCTAGGAACAGTTACCTTTAGAAACAAGGGTGCTGAGACTTTTAAGAACATAGGAGAAAACTTTAAGGTAAAAAAATACATTTATTCCTCCCCACCAGCATCTAGAGTTTGACTGTTTCACATTGGGGCAAAATTGTGTAATATGATAGTGGAGTAACAAGAGAGAATGCATAACATTAAAGGAAGTCAACTCAAAATGTTGCCTCAATCAACAAAACATCATTTAAAAATTTACGTACCTTACATTGTTGTCTCCACCAGATACAACTAAAATATTGCCTGTTACAGACCAACACCTGAAAACCATAAACAACATTTGGTCATAAAGTTCAGTCAGTTCGCAAGAAAAGCAATAATTTAAATGCTCACTGGTCCATACAAGTTTCATTAACTTTTATTCGAAGACTTTTCTAGAACTTTATAACAAAATTCAAGGAGTTTATTTTCTCAGGAACTTGCATTATGTCACAGATGTTACATATTAGCACAGTCTGGCCAAAAACAACTACCTATAAATCTTAAGACCAAAGGATAACAGCTATTCCAGAGTCGAATAAATCTCATGCTTTAAGCTTTTGTATTTCGTATTTTATTTACTCTATTCTATAGATAATACATCAGTTTCCAATATGAACATTAGTAGAAGGCTGTTTAAACTACGTGTACACAAGGTTAGCAAGAAAATTTAGAGAAGGGCACATTATAGTA